AATATTTTGGCTATACAGTATCAGCTAAAAATATCAGTCAAAAAATCAACTAAAAAAGCCAATATGTCAACTAATATTAGTCAACAAATTTTTGTCGTAAATACACTCTGAAACTAACTGCAAAAACTAAATAATTTGGCTTATAATGGCAGTAAAATGGCCATATTCTGTTACAGTTTTAGGTAAATAATTTTTAAGTGAGAAAGTAGATCCAAATAAATATTTGCACGAATATTTATTAGAATTTTATTAGCATATATAAATAAATTTGATTTAATTCGTAATGCTACAACCTTACCAAAATTGCAAATAAATATTACAAAATGCGATTTTACAGAAAGATTAACAAAAAAATTAAATAATTTTTAAATCAATAAGCTAGAAATATACTCAAATTTTACATAGATACTCAGAGACGTAATATTACAATAATCGAAATGTTTATATTTTTGTTAATGTTTCGAGATGTGACACATACATCCTTAAGCTGTTGAAATATTTAGTACGTTTTGTATCTACAATCCTTCAAGGCAAGAAGCAACGTGTAAGTTACAGTAAACGTGATGAAGGCGCAGTGTTTCTCACGATTTCACCATATCTGTGTTTAACAGGCGTAATTCAATCGCCGTTATACTTTTACTAGTGGTTCACGAGTTTAAGTTTAGGATTAACAGTGACGTCGCGCGCGTGTGAAGCTTTCAATCTAAAATAAAAATTATTTACCATTTTACAATAACAATAAAAAGGATAGCTGCGACGCATTTTCAAATTGTAAATTCAAAATACCATTTCGAAAAAAATGCGTGTATTGAAATATTTTACTTGGAATTTATAATTTTAAAAAATTAATATTTCAAGTACTAATGAAGTTATTGAGTGATTGACATTTGACAGTGTTACAACAAGAAACACGATAAATTGTATTGATATACTCGTGCGGATATACTGTTAGAACTATTAAGGCTCGTTGTCGATGTGGGTTATCTCGTAAATAGTCGGTCTTTCTCGAAAGTCTTATCTTAATTTTCGTAAAGTGAACGAAGCTTATCTTAATTTTCATAAAGTGAACGAGAAAATGCTCAAAATGAAAATTTTTTTAATTAAACGACGAACGATCGGCCGACGAATAATAAAATTTTGATTATTAATATCAATTAAGATTTTGTATATAGTTAAGCATTTCCAGTTAAAGGGAAGATCGTAATTATTAAGCCTTTTGACAGAAAAACTGTTCAAATGTCGTCGACGTTTTTTCAGTGACTTTTGAAAAGTTCTGTTCTCAAGTGATGGTATTTTCTAAGATGGAAGAGAGGATGTAAACGGTGTCAGTATTCTGATTTTAAGATGCTATTGTAAACGATCTGAAGGTATTTTGCTATACTATGCTACATTCTTTATTTTTACATAAAAAAATTTCAGAGTTCGAGATATGATATTTACATAAAAATATCCAACATATATCGAATATATATCCAATATATTATATATCGAATATACAGGGTGTTCCAAAAGTAACGATAAATCTTTCGCACAGATGCAAAATGGACTAAACTGAGAAGAAAAGTCCTCTATCATTTTACAATTTTCACAATAGTTAACAAGATATTAATTACTAAGTATTGTCGAAAATTGGTCTTCAATAGTTTTTAACTTAAATACTATCAACTTTACAGAAAAATTACAACAGACAAAAATTGTTTATTTTCTTCTTATAGAACTTTAAGAATTTTTTCAGAATTTTTTAGCAACTTTTTAATACATTTTCTTATTTTTACCAACATGAGAAAATACGGTATCAAAAAATTGTGAAAAAATTCTAAAAAAATTCTTAAAGTTCTATAAGAAGAAAATAAACAATTTTTGTCTGTTGTAATTTTTCTGTAAAGTTAATAGTATTTAAATTAAAAACTATTGAAAACCAATTTTCGACAATACTTAGTAATTAACATTTTGTTAACTATTGCGAAAATTGTAAAATGGTAGAGGACTTTTCTTCTCAATTGAGTCCATTCTGTCCCTGTGCGAAGGATTTATCGTTACTTTTAGAACACCCTGTATATCCAAATGCGGTTATAAAATTTTTATATCTTAAAAAGTAAACCTAGAATTATGTGTCGTAGTCTTTATTGTTTCCCAAAAGCTCTATTAAACATTTTTTATAGACAATATATTCTATTCCTTATAGAAAATAAATGCAAAAATATAAGACGTATAGATAAAAAGATATCGTCATCAGAATAGTATTTTCAGCAACTACTTCAGCCATTATTTGAAAAAATTATAATATAATTTTATTAGGGTAACTCCGGTATACTATATATGCAACACCTATCAAAAACTTAATTTATTAAGTATTATTTAGTATGTTTATAGTAAACGAACTATATCAGTAAAAACTTTGTACTGTCTACTACTATGAAAAAAATATTAGAAATCCGAAATATTTATTTTTCATATTAAAAAATAAACTTTTTGAACCTTGTATTTTTGCCGCATATCTCATAGGGGTGGGATATATGGCTACTCATAGGGGGAAAGGGGGTATGTACGGCTCATGAAAAATTTACAAATAATGCAAACATGCTTAATAATACAAACATGCTTTACTATTCCACTACACGTATGTATCACGAAATAACCAAAGTCTTTTACACGTCCTACATTAATCATTTTATGTAGATTATAACTTATGATGGCGTTACTTATTACAGTGACAAATCGATTCAACTCACAATAAATTCATTAATATTAACAGTAAGAAGCTGAAATCATAACACAAATAAAGTGAAAAAATCCTCTAAACTAATTGTTATTGGGAAGAATCGTGTAAAATCAATAATACACAGCGTTGTAATCATTCAATTTAAATCGTCAGTTTTATGAAATTATGTACGGTATATATCGTGATGAGATATATCAATAAATATCATACATCAACAATATATATCGGATATATATTATTAACTGCATTCAGCAGAAAAAGCAATTTTGCAACTGTTGTAAAATTCTTTAATGTGATTTGTCTTGGTTTTTCACTGTACCTAATTGTAAGTGTATAAATCAATCACACAACACACATTAAAAAATATTGCAACAGCTGCAAAGTTGCTTTTTCTGCTGAACGCAGCTATTGACATATCACAAAGAAAAATAATTTTGTTATAAACACAAAAAAGGCTTACAAAATTGAATTGTTAAATTTGTTTGCTGTTTATAGCAAACAAATTTGCATATTTGACAAATACTTTGCATTTGTTGCAAATAATTTTTGTAGCAAGCATAAAAAAATAAATATTCGTTACACCTGCAAATAATTTTGCGATCCCTATATTTGCAAATAGAATTTATCGTCACAGTATAGGATTAGTGTTCCTAGCAAATTTTTTCTTCCTTTCGAACTTTGAAAAATTTAGAATATATGTAGATTCTATGGTTTCATCGAATTAATTTTGGTACGGAATATCCAAAATTCTTCCCTCTCAGTATTTTATCTGTGGATTTTTCTCTAGATAAGAACTAGGTAGAAGAAACTGATTGTTGTGATAAAACGTAAATTCTAGATAAGCACGATGTTTTTCTGTTTTAACCGCATTATCATTATCTCCATAGATCGCCCACGTTCCGGAATTAATTATCGCGCAGCGCAAAAAAATGATTCGAACGATCCTCGTTGATATACGGACGCGAACAAAATCGACTATCCGGCACCTCGACACGGCCCTGTTTACAATTAAAACTCCCTACTTCGACCTCCATTTTGGGTTCCTACTTCCTAGCATTTGTTTAAAAAAGCAAGCATACCGTCATCAACCGTCATTACGACCGTGCAGCGAAAAGAGGAGATTGGTACCCATATACGTGAGTTCGTTCGTACAAGAACGAGCTCAAAAGACTTCTGTGCGCCAATGAAGAAGGAAAAGATCGGACAAGGGTGACAGTGAGATGAGGGCGCAGTGCACCTGGCGGACGTGATACGGTCCTGACACGTCGTTCTCCACGAGCGTGTCGCAAGCGTGCCATTAGCGCGTGCCGCACTAAAGGAAAAGCATACAAGTGCATACGGGGATCCAGGCATCCAGCAATCAACTGATGCGACGTGCAAATCACGCGTATTCGCGCCTCGCGCTCTCTCTCTCTCTCTCTCTCTCTCTCTCCTTTCTTACCGCTCGTTCGCACTCTCGCTTCCTCGCTCGCGTTCACACATACACACACGCATACACGCGTACACACGCTACTGTCCGACCGGTCGGGACTCCCGCCATTTCTACGTGACGGCCGCGACGTGCCCGTCGAACAGCTGCCGATCACGACTGGTCATCCCCCCGGACGAACGGTTGCCGCTGCCGCAACATAACTGAACATAGCCGCAACACACGCACTCGGTCTCGCGCCGGATTGCCGCGCTTATTTAAATTCACACTGACCGTTCATTCGGCGCACCGGCGAACACCTGCGGTAGCACCCGCGGCTCCCAACGTCGCCCACGACATGTCGGCGTTGTTCGTGCGTGAGCCGACGATCTGTTCGCATACACAGTGTTTATTTCAGCCGCGACGCGACGTCACCAATCCACTCCTTACCACCGTCGGCGAAACTGCCAAGATGGCGGCTGCCGTCACGTGACTCGCGACGTTTTATGACGTCGTGCAAATGTTAAAGGGCCGGCGGCCGGCCATTCGCGTTTGTTGCACGCCGTCACGTGACCGGGTGCACGTGCGTGTCCAATGAGAGAGATGCTTCCCTAAAAATAAGGGCGAATTACAGTCAAAATGGCGTAAACGGAGTGAACACGATTGTCACCACGTCCGCCCTTTTCAATGATGTGGAATTGATACGATTCGTTGTATTAGTACGAGAGAATTTGAAAAGAAATAAGAATCGACTGTTTTTTAATAAAAGTAATTTTATATATATATATATATAATAGACTTATATTTGCAGAGAGTATGTATCGCAAGATTCTATCAGCGTTCCATGTACCTAACTTTTATTTTAATGATATTCCTTAACCTAATTATACTTAACCAAATACGTTTTAGCCTAATCTACAATGCGTATATAGGTGTGCCGTAGATTATTCTTTGCTTCCTGTTTCTTGTTTTATACCTCGTGCCTTTTTCCTTCTTTTCAATAATTTTCGATTATCGATAATCGGAGTTTTTTTTCACGTGTTTCTTGTCTCTTCCGAAGTTTGTCAACTTTTATCTCGGACGACAAAAAACAAAAATTTCTTAAGTATTTTATATAACTCAGTTTTTTTACAAGTGCTCTTCTCTAGTATGTTAACAATAATTCTTAAATCGATAAAATAATAGTAATAATTTATGTAAATTTGTCACCTAATTTCATTTACAATATACACCACAAAGTATTTACAAAAAATATTATTTATATATGTTGTAAGACATGATATGTACATTCATCAAATATTAAGAATTCACATTCAACGCTGTGTATCATCGTTCCTCATCATTGTCATTAGCATTGAAGGATAGGATGATTTTTTGCTTTTCTCTTTTCACTTTCTTTTTCACAGGTTTATCTGTGGCAATTGTGTCAGAATCTGTTTCTACTGCTTTAGTTTTGCGAAATATGATCTTCTTAGATAGATCAGCTGGGGCATTATTTTCTTCTGCAATTGATAACTTTGATAGATCAACGTAAAAAATTAAGTGCAATTCATAAAATGTTTAATTACATGTTTTTTTATATAATGCCATATTCAATACTACATCAACTACATATAGATTTAGAGCAACCACTATATTGAATCTGCACCTTTTTCTTTCTGTTTTTTAAAAGCATCTGCTTCTTCTGCCGTCAAATCACCAGAATTTAACACGACAACAACAGGTTTCTCATCAGCCAACTCTTCCCTTTCATCATCGGATACTTTTGGTAGAACTTCTCTCTAATTTAACAAGTCAATTGAATATATTGTTAATTCTATGTTTGTTACATTTTTATGTTTGTTTCTATCAGTGTAGATTAATTTTAATCTCAGTTCAACTTATCATTCATCTTACTCTAACACTAAGAATTAGAAAAAGATAAAGAATAGAATCAAGAAAAAAGTTGAACCGTGATTAAAGTTAATTTGTATTAGAGTGGAAACAGGCCTTAATTTTTAACAAAAAAAAAATATAAACAAAATAACATTAAGTATTAATGTTCAGATGTAAGTAACTTATGACTATAGCACATAAAAAACTTAAACAGTAATATGTACAGTAAACAAATTGGCCAGTCGCACTAGGAACTATAAGATAATGTAAACTATAGCAAATCCAAAATGTTGATTTGTTTATTGTTTAAATTTGTTGTGTGCCATATTCTTTATGGATAATCATACTTTCGTATCAACAGTAGGACCTTCTTTGTATCCAATTTGTTCTTTTAGCTCTTGTAGAAATTTTGGTTCGTTCGGTTTGATATATGATACATTGTGTTTTTTCCGTGACATAATTTTGTTAACGTGACGTTCTTTACAAAAGACTGTTTGAAAAACGATAACCTATCACACAAACTGTAAACAGAGCTCCCCGTCAGAGTCTATTTCTTCTTCTTCTCAAGATCCCCCTATTTAGATTTCCGACCCACTATAAGGGCGGAATCCATAGACGTTGCTCAAGATTCGAGATGATCTTAAGCTAGTGCATGAACCAATCAGAGAGCCGTATTAGTATCTTAAGTCCACATCTACAATAGGTATTTTAAGCCATAAGCCGTAAAGGAGCCTACAGACCAGAGCGGCGTAGCGGCGAGCGGTAGCCCAATAAAAGCCATGCTTCACTAATGGCTGCGTTCAGCAGACTCAACAGTTTTGCAACCGTTTTATGATTATCTGCTGAGATAGGACCATTCTTCTAGATCTAAAAGTATGATCCAATTAGCGTGAAGGAAACTTCCAACAGTTGCAAAACAAACGTTCTGCTGAACGCAGCCATCGATGTCACGCAAAAGCGTGGCTCTCATTGGGCTACCGCTCGTCGCTCACCGCTGCGCCGCTCTGGTCTGTAAGCTCCTTAAGGCCGGAATCAGACTAGGCATTGAAGATTGAGATTGAAGATTGAAAGATTGAAATTTGATCAATCAAAACAATAGGAACTAAAATTCCTTCGCCCTCATTGGTCAAATTTCAATCTTCAATCTTCGATCTCGATCTTCAATGCGTAGTCTGATTCCGGCCTAAGAAATTGACCAATTACAGTCGAATCCGAAGGGAATAATCGACTGTGATTCGTCCATTTCTTATGGCTAAAGGCTTAAAACCCTATTGTAGATCCGGGGTAATCGTTAACTTATGGCTCCTGCACACTGGACGCGGAAATGCTTACCGCGCGGCAAAATGCGACGCGGTAACCAATGAACA